TGCTGACACATTCACTTCACCATGCTTGCTTTGTAAACAAATAATTAAATGGTACACAGCCACCTGACATTCTTTAAAGTTGCTGGCTCATGTGGCTTAAGCATGACCAACAAAATGCACTCATTCCATGTGATTTTCCAGATAATGTGCTATATCACAATACATACTGATCATATACTGACATTAGGCTACATAATTACATATATTGTGATTATGTAATTTTAGCCCTATTTCCCACCTATTTGGTGCTCTTAATGAGTCATGTAATTCCATATAATTCTATTTTATGTGTCTACACATGTGAGGACACATCCTCAGACTTAGTGTAGTTTAAAACGGAACTGCATTTGCTGTCTGTGTCCCTTTTGGACTATATCCAACAGTTGAACAGCAAGTGGAGTACTTTAACAGTATTACACAAAATAACCTTAGTGGAAATGCCAGAAATCAAAAACAACAACAAAGACTTACAGTACAATATGTGCTAAATTTGTATGCAGTTATGGGTTTTTTTAGGGGTTAACTGCCAACCATGAAACACAATGTCCCTGGTTTGAGTCGGACTGGGGATCCCTGTTGCATTTCTCTCTCCCATGTTTCCTGTCATCTCTTTACTAGCGCTATAAAATAAAGGCCTAAAATGCAAAAAATAATCTGAAAAGAAAGTGTGTGTACTAGGGTGCACTGGTCTTCTGTATAAAGGGCGTATAAGTGAGTGTTTGAATGTGTATTCACATGTATCTTCTCTCGCCTACTTGAGCCCAAGTCAGTGTGTCTGCATTCAAGAAGAGAATGGCTGCACCAGCCTACACCCCTCCCTTTCAACCAACCACTGAGCATTTTGACAATCATCCACTGTGGCCCTTCACAAAAATCAACATCACCTGTGACCCATGGCCTCAACTCAGCCACTCAAATGCAGGGCCTCCTGCAGGGCGGGGGTTTCTGGGGGGGCTGTGGGGCTCTGTTTGTCATGCTAATCAGCTGGCCTAACCTTAACGACCCAGACATCTGCTGCCCTGCATGTGTCAAGCCCCCACATTCAATTTGTTCCCCAGATACAAAAAGCAGGTAAGACCCTCAAGGCTGGTAAGAATGTCTGTGTGTGTGCGTCCTTGTGGGTGATGTTGTATGGGCGAAAGGGAAAAATCCTTTCCTTTCTGTGCATGTACTAGAGCAATAATTAGCAGCAGAGAAGAGAGCTAAAGTGTACGCTCGTGCGTTCTATGCCGTTGTCCTTTCTTCTGTGTGTGTGCACGGTTTAATGTCCGGTACCCCCCACCAACCAACACACACAGCCAGGCTGGTTGGTTGCTCGCTCACACACACACACACACACACACACACACACACACACACTTGAACACGTGTGTGTGTGTGTGTGTGTGCAGCAGAGCGATGGAGAAGGGGTGGGGGGAGTTTGTTTAATGGGCGAGACAGGGGACCATGGGGATTAAGCTCCCCCCAGCTGGAGGCTTTAGAGGAAAGGCTGGGGGCTGTCCTGTTAATTCAAGTGGGCTTAATAATGCCTGTGCACCCTCTGCCCCTGACCCTCCCACCACTACATCAGATCTGGGAGGAAACGCATGATAAAGGCAGACAAGCAAGAGGAGGGGGGAGTGTGTGTGTGTGTGTGTGTGTACAACCTGTGGCCATCTCTACAGTCGAGCATGGGCTCAGGGGACTTGAGAGATTTCGCCTCTATATTACTCGCGCTCCTCTCCGGCTTTGGCACAAGGCCTTTCTGTTGCTCCACTTTCATGCCACAGCCAGCTTTGTTGAAGCTGCATTAGGATTAATCAACACCCAAACAATATGGCAAATGCTATCAACTGGGTCAGGCACTGTGCCACTATCAAATGAGACTTTTCCCTCTTAAACCAATGAACTGTGCCCATAACCTGTGACAGTAGATTAAAATGCACCCATTGACATAAAAGACACATGAATCCCTGTTAAACCAGTCTTCTCTGTATAAATGGGACAACTATCTGAAATAAACAAAATCATTGTTATCTATTTTTTTATTCCAAATATAATAACAATTTTGCTATATTTATTTGTTTGAATAGTGCAGGTCATTGTCCAGAGTATACACAGCGAGTGAGTGGGCGTGTTGATGACGATGCATGGCGTGTAGCTGCGTTGATCGTTTCGCTTTCATATCTGCCAATCAATGTCAGCCTACACAAGTCTCATCTGCGGTGTGCGTTTCTCCTGCCGCTGCACGTTGCTCTCCGTTTCTATCACCCTTCCCTGTTCCCATAACAATTAAGTTTTGTCGTTTGTGGTCATTTTTGAGAGTTTGTTTTGACATCAATGCAAAAAGAGTCACCATTAAGGATAAGTCATTCTCTTCCTCCTGCACGCTCTACCCAGGCGCGAGCGACTTGGTTTGCCTAAACCAAGTATTTCCGACACGCGAGAACACGTCCTCTTGTTATCGGACAATGTCCCAACCTGATTCTCAAGACATTGTTTGGAGTTCATATGTGAAAACAGCTTGTGATTCACACAGGAAACGCCTTAATGCAGAGTACCCACACGTCACCACCACTGGCAATCCAGTTTCCTCTGCAAATCCTCTGCTGCTTTAAATTAGAGGCATTATACATGACAGGGGCCTTGATTGTACATATCCATTGTGGAAATGTAAAGCTTTTGTTCGCTTCGTATGCCAATATGGAAATGTAACGCTAATGTTACAACTGCGTGAACAAAGGAAAGTAAAAGGAAAGCAGACTTGCTGGTGACAGAGTCAGTTTGAGAGATCCATCATCTGTCATTATGAGGCAGCGCTGTTACTCTCTCATCCTCCAGCTCCTTATCTCTGACACTCATATCTATATGGGTGTCACACATTCTCCCCATCCTCGGGCCCCTGTGACAGCAGCAGCAGCTGAGGAGAAAAAGGATTTGAAGAGGGAAGACGTGCGTGTGTGTACAGTATATTTATGTTTAAAGCCACGGTGGAGGGTGGGGGTTAGCACACGGGAGAATTTTTGGGGGGGCTTGGAAATAGCTTGTTGTAGCAGGTTAAGAATAAAGCAGCTGCAGCACCAGTGATTCCCAAACCCCATTTTTAATCCTGTGTGTTGGGTCTTAATACTCCAATCAAGCAGCATAAGGGCACTCAATTGGATTAGAAAAATAACCTCCTATCAGACAGGAAGGCAGGCAGCAGTGGAGTGGCCCAGCTGCTCTCACCTTGGAAAAGGTGACTGAGTTCTCACCCTATCAGGAGGAGACTGCTTCACCACTTCACCCAAAAAGAAGGGCACTAAAGTGAAATCTTGTCCTTGTGAGTCCCTAAAAATAATGCATGTGAGTATTATCAGAAGATCATTAAGAATGAGCATCCCTACTTTGAATGGCAAACTGAATAACAGGCTAGTATAACATACATAGTAGCCATACTTAACAGCCTGACTATAAGGTTTATTCTTAAGGGGCCACAAGGTGAACCCATTGGAAGCACACAAATTGCACGACTTCACCTCTGCCACTTGACAAGTATAAATCAACAACCTACAACTCTCTCCAACAATTGTGCCAACTAGCGTTTTTGTATTCCAACACAGTGTGTTTCCCCTTTTAATTTAAAAAAGGAGCCACGATACGATTTTATTAAAATATAGAGACAGATTGAGGATACGTCTACAGAGAATACAGCCATAACAGAAGTCGTTTTTAGATTTGCAGTTGTTCTATAAAAATACATCCTTTTAGATCATCAGTTTCAGAACGCTTAAGTTGAACTCGCTGGGACACACTGCTTATACAGGATTTCACTCATCTGACAAGTCAGGCTGCAACCAGAGGTTCCCACATCCTCACATCCCGCTCCCTAGTCTGAGAACACACATCAGCTGGCTCACATCAGCAGCAGCACCACAGCGCAGCACAATCAGGCTGCCACACAGACTGACTGCCAAAGGGCAAACCATTCATGTCACAAAAGACATTCAGGTTCTAGCTTCAGCAAACAACTCTTTGCCTTTCAGCAGTAAAAGAACTACAAGACGTTGCCAGGGAGAAGCAGAGGGCACAGTCCCTGGCAACATAACAGTCCTCTTGCCGTTGTGTTTACCTGCGCTGCACTTACACAAGTGCCTCTTTGCTATATTTGCCCTTGTGAGGGGCAAGGTGAAAAGGCAACCAAAACTTCAAGGTGAAAATACAGGTAGGCCAACAAATGTGGGTTTTCACGTGGGTTTCTTATGGCACCATAAGAAGCCAATTGAGCTTCTATCTTCAATTTGAGCCTGGGTCCCAGCCAGAAACGGTTTGAGCCCTTGGATGACAGAACCACTGCTCCAAAAAAAGCAGTGCTGACACAACCATATATTTCTGTATTGACAATTAACACAATTTTGCCAGTCATTTAACATAAATGTCTGACCAATGGGCTGAGAGCCCTCATCACTGATGAATGCATGCCCTGGACTGAGTTTCTGTTACCATGGGAACTTGAGATTTAGGGGAACAGAGGAGATGTGTGCTTTTTTTCTCCCCCCAGTCATAAAAACACCCACCTGCACATAATAGCAATACAGAGTGATTTTTGAATCGGGCATGGGTTTTGGCATATTGGAGAATGCAACTGACAGGAGGCTGTAAAAACAATTGTATGGTTGTGAAATGTAACAGCATTCATTAGAGCTGTCTGATTCTGGAGGATGACTTCGATGCCATCACCTGCAGAAAGTTTAAGCCTAAATCCAAAAATGGTTTCTCTCTACACTAAATACACTTCTTCTCTCCATAACCCCTTCAACCACACATCTTCACAAGAACTTACCAGAACTAAAAACACACTGCAGTTATAAACCATAATCTTATAAATACCTTTATTCAAAATTACAATCTGCACGCACAATTTCTCTAACTAACCTGCGTGGGTAAATCACTTTACTCACTGTAGAGCAAGTACTTAATTTCCGACAAATGTCAAATAGGGAAAAAAAGAAAAGAAAAGAAAGAACAAAACAACCACTTACTGAGTGTCTTGATTGTGGAAACATCATGTCAATTCCTTGTTTGTTGCTGTCAAACACGATCAACTGAGTGCTCTGTGTTTATATTTTTCCTTGCGTTGGTCCTTTGTCCAAAACTGGCCCAGCCTCTAACAGGAGCTGTCCAGCGTTAGCAGGATGACTAGCTAATGGTAGCTAGCGAAGCGACCCCCCCTTAAAAAAAAAAAAAATAAATAACCACGCTGAATGTGAGTAATGCACTTTTTTTTTTTTTTTTTTTGTTTTAGCCGCAAGCGAGGTAAAACAGTCGGTGTCTTGTCTCGGTGATAGCAAAAACCATTCAGCTGTACCTGTCCCGACTCCCGTATTTACTGTGTCTGTGGACAGGAAACCACCATCAGCGCTGGCTCCTCACTGGCTAAGCTAGCTAATTCTTCAAAAGCTGTCAGTCAATGATCCATCGCGGCTGCAAAGCTTCTTTCTTTCCTCCGCCTCAACGCTCAAGCGGCAGCGGCGACGACGCGAGCACAACGCGTGTAAATTAATAACGTTGGTGCGCACACACACACACACACACACACACACACACACACACACACACACACACACACACAGAGAGAGAGAGAGAGGGGGAGAGAGAGAGAGAGAGAGAGAGAGAGAGAGAGAGAGAGAGCGGTGTTTGGACGAGTAGCTAGCGAGAGGAGGGTGTAATGGTGTCTTCAGTCGCCTTGTGGTGGGTCCTTCAAAAAGCTTTCGGTTCGCTTTCTTCAAGCCCGTTTGCGACTACGCTGGCGGAAAAGAAAGTAAGAGGGGTGAGGAAAAAAATTGTCTAATTTTCAGAAATAACAAAATGTCTGCGGGTTCGTTTAAGTTGAATCCCGTTTCGTCCAACGGCTACAAATAAGTCTCGCGAGTGGGGCCAAAAAAAATCTGCGTTGTCGCTCGGTCGGAAAAACAACTTAAAATTAAAAATGGAGCCCGAGCGCGAGTAGAAAAAAACCAAACAAACTCTGAACGTTTGTCCCTTGAAGCGAGTCGTGGTGGAGAAATAGTGGATTTTGTTCAGTGGTGGTGAAGCTAGAGAGTCAGTCCATTCCTGGAGCTGGTAGGTAGACGCGACGCTGCCGAGCTGTACGCCCCACACAGAAACACAGCGGATAGAAGAGCGGTGAGCGCAGCGGGGCCGCGCAGATCTACACGCCGTAGATCTGCCTCATCAGCCGGCTCATGTCTGAGCAACGAGCGCCTCATGTGGACAGGTCCCCGCACTGCTTCATATGAGGGGTAACCAGTGGGACGCTAACCCCAAACTTTAATCCCACTAGGAGCTGGAGTCAAAGCAGGTTTACCAACATTATCAGTAATGCATCTAACGTGTAGTTGTTTTCACTGTTTATAGCTGTAAAAGAGCTGTATGAATGCAATCAGCTCTCCTGTTTTGACTAAACGACAGTCTGTTCTTCAAAAGGAATTAACATTTAAAGACTCTATACACGTGTTAAGACATATATACAGATATTCTGCTTGGAACAACAATGTGTGCCTGACATGTTTTTTTCTACCAAGAAAAGTGTAATTTCTACCCTTGCTGTGCATACTGTGTATACTGTCATATCCACCTACCTCATGTACATAAAGAAACCTGCACATAAAATATTTATTTCAGCATCCTTTGCACTATTGTCTACTGTATACAAATGTTTGTTTATATATGTACATGTGAGTCTGTGTCTATTTTGTTGAACTTGTTTATTTATGCTGTTAGTCTGTGAACATTGAGAGCAAGGTCAAATCGGAGTCAGATTCCTCGTATGTGTGCACATACATGGCCAATAAAAGTGATTCTGATTCTTAATTTCCACATTAAAATCATTCTACCTCATTAAAAATTCCATTGTTCATTGTTTAAAGTAGCTGGACACGAGATGTCTTCTACTTCAATGTAAAGTCTTTTCTCAGTGTATGTGCACTGGTGGCTTCAAGTTTCTCTATCACGCGCCTTAAAATCAGCTTTTCAGTGAGCACAGAGAAACTTTCCACTTCCAGCAGATTAAGGATTTTGGACTTTAAGTAACCAAATCATTGGCCAGTTCACTCTATTATTTAACACCTATATGAATCATATCCTTATTTAGCCTTAGCCAGGATTTAATAGAGAACCCCACCCACCTAAAAACTTGACCAGCCAGCAATCAAACTGTAAATTAATTTAATTAAAAAAATAGAAATAAATCACATTTGACATTTTATGAATTTCTTTCATATTTGCAGTAAATGTTATTACCCTGCATCATGGGCTAAATGTTGTTTGTGTCAAAGTCTTCTCTCTGCTGCCAGATATGAAATTCTGATTTAAAAAACTAAATACCTTCTGTGTTGATTTATTTCCATCATCATTTAATATATTTGGCATTAAAATGTGCGAGAATCAGGCTTTAAAAGCTGTAATTATAGCCACAGGTGCTTTTTGTCTGTGCTGTTTGCAGTATGTCACCATGATGTTAACGATCGCTCCCTCTTGACACATTTTTGTATGATGCACACAGATTAACCTGAAAGTGCACCTTTGTAGTAGTTTTTCTTTTAGATTCAAATTACTTGAAGTTCTTTTCCAATAAATGTTTATCTTATTCTGTAGCACTTTCTATCAGCGACAACAACTTCCATTGATTATCTGCATGTAAATGAATGCCTGAGTTCAGTCTTGGTCATAAACAGTTGACAGTCACATGAGCTGCTACTGAACCAGTGACCTCTCATCATCTCTGCATCCATCATAAAAAATCACATCAGTATTTGAGGATGTTTTAGTCCATCTAATTTAAATTATATGTGTACAGTGTATATTATAGCTGCAATCTAACAGTTTTTGAAAGCATGCTGTAGTTTGTTCCCTTACGGATAATAAATAACTTTCAAAAAGCCACTGAAGTTAATGTTCTGTTTCTGAAAGAGGTTGTCAGTTGAAGTATATACAGCTTGTATTAGTGAACATAAAAAGTGGTATAGTCCTTTAATCACAATATACAGTGTAAGAAAACAACTTCCCGCTCCAAAGGAAATGTACAAGGATGCAATAAGAGAGTATAGGAACATATTTTATTCCAATTTAAAACATTTAAAGGAGAAGGCTATGAAAATCATTTTCATGTTTGAATGAGGTTCAGGCAACAGTGGTTGAAATGAAACATACAAAAGAGAAATATGGCCAAAATACTGTAAATCAAAAACCATTAGGACCCTTTTTATGAGGGCGTTGCATGAATACAGTATATCACCCACCCACTCCCTCCCCAACCTGACAAACACATGCAATTAAAATGACATTTATCTTAAAAACAGCAGTTCATCAATAATCTTAAATATAGAATAAAATTGTCCTTTTTTTTAGTTAATTAATCACATACTTAAGTGTTTATTTGTTTTAAAAACTGGACCATGAAATTCACAGGCCCTCTGATTTCTCACAACATTGGCACTTGTTAAGAATCTGGCTTTACAAAGAAAGGGGATTGGCACACTCATTGTACATAATTTACATTTGGTATACTTAAAAAAAAAAAAAAAAGAAAAAGAATCAAACAAAAATACATTACTTTCAATTTGTACACCACTACACAAAGTTTATTTGAACTCTTTTAAAAAAGTCTGTCATCTAAAGTGGTCCTAAATACATGTGTTAAGGTGTGTCAACCTTAAAAAAAAAAAAAGAAAGAAAAAGATGCAAAGATAGCTTTTAATATTACTGTATGTCCACCCCTCTAATCAGAATGGATCTCAAGCATAAGCAATAGCCATCAAAAGTACACACACACACACACACACACACACACACACACACACACACACACACACACACACACACACACACACACACACACACACACACACACACACACACACACACACACACACACACACACACACACACACACACACACACACACACACACACACACACCCCTCAGAGTACCAACGAGCGCGCTTGAACGGACATCTAAGTTGCATGAATGCAGGCCCATTGCAGTGGTGCAGTTTCAGTGCCTTCGACCCAGGGAAAGAATACACAGTCCAATCAAGTAAAGGGGGGGAGAAAAAAAAAAGAGAATGGCAGACATGTAAACATACAGCATATTCATTCACTCACTTGCAATTATAACCACCAAAATATTACAATGGCCATTTCAGTACCTTCACTTGGCAAGTCTTTCAATAAATACATTAATACTGAGGCTTAACACACAAGCTTCATTTTGAAAAAAAAAGAAAAAACGAAACCATAATGCAAAAGTGGATCAACAAGTTTTACCACAGAGATCTGAGTCAAGTTACTACAAATTGGGAATTTCTGTGGCTGATTGATTTTGTTTGGCACAGTGTTTTATTGGACTGCTGTACAAACCTTCTCCAGAATGCATTCTAAGCAGAATAAAGCAAATACAGTACAAATCAATGGAAAGGACTTCAAATAACCGACCCAGCTCTGCTGTTAGCTCCCATCACCGGTAGTGTTGCCATGTGACTTTTTCTGTTTAGCTGCGAGGTGCTCACCAGAGAAGGCAAATACACATATGAAAACTGATACAACAAAGTTGTTTTTTTTTTTTTTTTTTATAAAGAGTACACCATTTTGCAAACAGTGGTCCCAGGAGTGGTCACTTTCATCTTGTTTCTCATCCTCATAGCAGCCCATTCAAGTCCATTTTCGGCGCAACATCTCATCTACGAGCATGAAGTGTAAGAGACCACACGGCTGCCCTTAAGGTGGTAAGCCACAGTTCAGGGGAACAAAACACAAATAGATGCACATGTTATCCCAGCAGGGAAGCAGAACAAAATATTCCTTTCAAAGCTCAGTTAAAGTCTGTCACGTAGTTTATTCATCCACATATCAAAATACATAAGCTCTTAATTTAAAAGTGAAAAGCGTGCTGAATTGTATCACCCACAAAATGAACTGAAATTAGCAAGTGAGTGTGAAAAGCATCACCCTATACATGGGGACAAACAGGTCAAGAAAAGGCCTTTAAATGTTGGCTGAAGCACCAAAGCTGAACCCATTATCAATACAGGCTGGAAAAAACAAGGTCACAGCCAAAACAATAACTTGACTTCTCAAAGTCAGAGCTTTTGCAACATCTCCAATATTGTTTCTCATATTTTCATATCAACTCATAACAAATTGTGGCACTTAGCATAAATATATATATATATATATATGTCCCTTCTTCATTAAGTGTCAAAGCGTACAAGATAATGGCTTTATCAACACAATGTACACATTTGCACCAGAGGTGTGACAATTACTCTCAGTAGGTGCGTGTGAAGAAAATCAAGGCTAAGTAATACACAGGGCGAGTAAAATCCCCTAAATCTAACAGATCAAACTGCTTTTCTGCAGAAATTCAAAAGAAAATTTGACTTGTAAACCTTTTGGCAAACGATTTAAGATACACAAAATGGAGTACGACAGGCTCTGTAATAATTTCTTTGATGTTTAATCTGACCCTTCCAGCTAGTTCAATGTGCACAAAAAGGTCAAAATGTCCCAAGTGTTCCCTTTTTTCTGACTCCAACACAGCCAATGCCAAAGTCAAACATGGAAACACTACCAATTAGAAGATTAAGCCAAATATGCATAACCACATAGTGGAAAATATAAAGCCAAGAAGATCAGCACATAATTCATCAGAGTATGAGGATAGTTAGGTGCAACTGTGCTATTGCACCTCGGGAAACCCCACTTCTTTTGACGCTAGCCATTCTCCTCTTCTAAAGGCAAAAAGATAATGAACAAAGAGCTAAACCGCCACCAGACTTCCCTCGGGAATGTCATGTAGGCATCTGTGGACTGCTCCATTCCTCCCTCACTGAACCTGCGGCCATCACCCTCAACAGGATGTCAAACTCTTGATTCATAAACCCCCCCCCCACCTTAATTAATTGCACCTTTTTCTCTATGCCGTCCATAGACTCCTTTCATTTCTATCAAAGCTGCTAGTAGTAGCCCTTGTGATGAAAAAGTTATGAAAACTTACCTGAATTACATTGTGAAGACAAAAATAGCCATCTATCAACTTTCAGCTTAATGGAATATTTAAACAACTATCAGGCAAGAGACACGATATGGGATTGGAACCAATAGCCAACACATATCCTCAAAAATTACAAAAAAATGCAAGCATTCTTGAACAGTAAATATTCAACCACCAAGTTTTTTGTCTGTTTTCATTTTCCTATTTGCATAAAAGCACAAACCTGACACGGAAACAGTGTTTTCCATCGTCAGGCATCTCAAAACAGAACTGCAACAACTAAATATATGAAGTATCATTAGAAAGATAGAACACTTGTCCATAAAATAATTTTGATATTTTACAGCAGTATAAAATCTCCTCCTGTCTCCTAGGTTGGAAAAACATTTAAGCTGAAACTAGGGAGGATGTCTCATTTACTGTATCAACAATACGTAGATCTGATTGATAAATTAGACATACAAAAAAGAAATATTTACTCTCTTGCTATCATTACAGTTTATCAAATGTTGGCCAAATAATATGGCTAAATAAAGTTGATTACAGAGAGAAGCCATATGGATGATCAAGACCAACTTGTGACTTAAACTAACTGGCAGCGCAAAAGCTTTATTTCATCTACAACTGACTATTGCACTGTACTAATCTGGTATCATCATTCGCACATGGTGCACAGGAAGATTATTCTCAACATTAATAAAGGAAACAGAGAAAATAAATCACAGTACTAATACATGTGTGATTCAGACAATGGTCGACATGAAAAAATGCCACACAAAGTGAGTTGTTATGCCATCAAAATCTGAATGATCCACGAGAGAAAACTTGCACCTAATTTTGGCAATACCGTTTCCAAATATGTTTTCTTGGTATCTGAACCACTTAAGGGATGAACAGGATACTGGCAATGCAATTATATTTACAGAAAAAAGCAGGTGGTTACAATTTGGCAATGTGATGGGGGCAAAATGACGAGGGAGTTGATATACAGTATGTTAATACCGGTAGTAGTGTTGTTGTTGTTGTTTTTTGTTTCATAATACATGTTAACACTTTAAAATGATGGGCAGTTTAAAAGTAACATATTGTGAGTCTTTCTGGAGCGTTGCATTCCTTTGAGTAGTCATCTTCAATTTTAAATGGAGAACAATAGCAGTAATAATACAACCAAGACGTTAACATAGCTGAAAATATTGAAAGTATAACAGAGAACATGTAGTCGTCTCTGTGTAGCCCTCACTCTGTGTGAGCAGCATGAAAACTTTATTTACATTCAACAGAGCGTCTGGGCTCTGAGTGGGGCAGGGTTAACAAAAAAAATAAATCAAATACAAAATTCAAGACCCAGGGGAACCAAGTACCTCACTGCACCCCAGCACTGCCAGATAATATATTCTTATCATCATAATTAGTTACCCTTCGCAGATGAGCAGAGTCCAGGGTCTGCAGCCTGGCCTCAAGCCCTCATGCTGTAGTGTATCGCATGCATGGGTTAAATAAGAAGAAGGGGAGAGAGCCCTTGGTCCATAAAAGCTTTGTCTACCCAGAGAAGGCCCTCTACCCACCTCGAAACACACACACTGGTGATAATGTAGTGTAAAGAAAAAGAAAAGTGAGCCACACCTAGGGCCAAGAGGAGCCCCAGAGCACACCAAAACCCCAAGAGAGGGGGACAGATGGAGGGAGTGTTATCTTTCAGTGTGTTTCATGTGTGTTTGTACAACAGGGGCAATTATTAGAACCACTAAACAGATAACCATTCTTTTTAAAAAATGGGCAAACCAACAACCAAGGAGCTAAGAGGACAGTAGGAATAGGACATGGATAGTGTTGGTCTGTTAAAGTATGAAGCAATGCTTTTTGAGCAGCAGTGAGTTTCATGCAGATGTGTGTGTTTTTAGAAGTGGACTCTGCATTGTGTCTGTGTGTGCGTGTGTGTGTGCTGGGGTGCAGGTCTCTTTCTTGCTCTCTCTCCCTCTTTCTCTCTTTCTGTTTCTCTCTTCACACAAGGTTGTATTCTTTGAGGTTGAGCTGCAGGATAGTATCTTTGACGGCTGCAAAGACAAAGCGGATGTTCTCCGTGTCGGTGGCGCATGTGAAATGGGAGTAGATGATCTTGTCACTGTCTGGGTTCAAGTCCACAAACATCTTCAAGATGAACTCCCGACCCGCTTGGGCATCCCGCTGGGGACCTGGGAGAAGAACGGAGCATTACTTTTAGCTTCTATGGAACGTCGTATTAGCATCATTGAACCTTTATTTTATCTTTATTTAATTTCAGCATTTCTCAATATGGGTTAAACAATTCAACCAAAAACAGCTGGAAAGGAAAACACAAATCACTTCTGGATGACAAGTTACCATTCTAGATATGACTGGTGAGAGGGGTGAATTAGTATTGCTTTATTTTAAAGGGTCATAAGCCAAAAAAGAGAGAATACTGCTATGTTCAGTCAACTATCAGTTAGTATTGTAGTACATCATCACAACCACAGGGTGTCACTGTACAATCAAAAATATAACTGACCGGTTCCTGCCTTGATAAAGTTATAGATTGAGAGTGAAAAAAAATCTCCCTGTGTGCAAATAATGACACAGCCACTTTCAATGTTAAGATAGCAAGCAGCTAGTTTGATTTTCCTAATGGTAAAGGGCCGTTACAAATGGTCAGTTACTGGCTAAACTAGACTGAAAGAAATGCCACAAACACTGACCGAGTTTGACTAATGGCTCAACTTCTCATCTGTACGGATAATTAATTAAAAAAGTCCGGGAATTGAATTCACTGCTGAGGCTCAACATGGTCTGACATTACAAAACCATTCAATGATAGGCAGACTATGTCAAATTCATGTTGTAGTTAAGATGTCTAATAAAGTAGAAAGGCCAGTAAATACATAAATCTCACTCACCGTCAAACTCTGGGAAGTAGTCAACCAGGTGAGAATACATGATCTTCTCCTCCAGCAGGTCCTTCTTGTTGAGGAAGAGGATGACGGAGGAGTTTTGGAACCAGGGATATGTGATGATGGTCCTGAACAGAGCTTTACTCTCCTCCATACGATTCTAACAAGGGGGGAAAAAAAACAGGAAAATAAACACAAGGTTAGAATGTAATCAGAATACAAGACTTCTCAAACTCTGCTTGATTCACTCTTCACTGTGAATGTGAATAAATGGCTGGCCAATGCACAGATGCTACAGTTAATATCAATATTAGGTATGCATTTGATTTTCAGGATAATCTCTACAAGTTTCTGGGCTAACATTCAATTGGCAGTCCCGGCACTATAAGCCAGACTTAGCTGAATGGAGCTATAAGCAATGACCAACAAGTGCAGTAAACTTCATTATGAACAATATTTTTTGTTGCCTTCTGTTTCGGGTGGAAGGGCAAAAGGGTTTCTGGACTTGTGCCATAACAGGACTTCTTTCAAAAATAAACTGAAAGAAACGATCCAGTCGGCAGCAAAAATACCAGCAGGGATAATAAAAATGCAGCCAAATGAAACAAAGTGTTTCTCTTCAAAGACATATACACAAAGAAACAAAAGAGTACTGTTTATTTACCTAAACCTGTAATAATATGTTACTTTTTCTTATTATATCGTTGCTAACATTGCTAGCATAGCTTAGCTGTGACAGGCAGTTAGCAAAGCCAGTATGTTCACAGTTTCATCCAACCCTTCATAAATGCACAGAAAGAGTCACTGTCGGGTTATGTTTGGACACCGACACTTTACATTTGTCAAGTGCTTTTTTCTGACACCAAACACTAGCTTGCTAATAGTGATGGACTGTAGCTGGATGGCATCATGGCGTGGCAGCTGGAATGCAGCATTTGCAGTTAATACAGGATATTGTAGTAACGGATGAGAAACAGCCAGGGAACACTCAAGATTCTCAAAACAACCACAAAAATGACTCAAGACTTTCCCTGTCATCTCATGTAAGCTACTAAAAGCTAAAAGTTGCTGTCAAACATGACTCTCCTCTCTGGTCTAAACTCCTTGCCAGCATCACTCCCACAGTCTAGTCTTGGCAAGTCATAATATGATCCTGGCTAGACTTGACCCGATGAAATCAAAGATGTTTGAAAACAATCTCGTCAGGCTCCGACTGGTCTTAAGGGTCAAAGTCTCGGTCTTGGGCCTGTCAACACGACAGGATAATCTCTGCACACGGATGCCTAAATGCTGCCCAGCCTTGTCTCAGCTGTCAGCCAATTAGAAACAGAGCTCAGTAACAGCATCAAAATTGTCTAGTGTGGCCTACCACCTGTGTCCATATACACATTGCAAGCAGGAAAAGCAAATAAACAGCAGCCTGCAAAAATGAAAACGTATTCCTGTCCTTGTGTGTTCAATAATTTCAGTGAAGATAAAGTACAGTATATGTGTGCAGTTAAACTGTTCCCAGTGGACAAACATCCACCCTGGTAAACTGTTGAGCATGAATCTGTAGCGATGTACAGCAGATATAGTGAGTCAAGCTGGCAGCTGGGTCTGGTTTATGAAACCCAGCTGTCATATGATCAGGTCAGAGAGATGGTTTGTTGTCAGGAGAGGAGCAGAGGGCATGCAGCGGCTGATCACATTAGCTTTATTAGCGATAATTCTATCTGAACAGAGGAGAGTCAGAGCAGACAGAGCCAACTACATAGACAAACAAAATATCTGTGGAGTGAAGAGATACAAGTTCCGCTTGTTGTCAGAGATTCATCAATAATCATTACTGTGTGTGTATGGGAGGCTCCAATCCAAAAACAGTTTCTATATGACTGTTACATATGGTAGTTCAATAGAAAACATAAATCATTAAATTACATTTTAACTACATTATGGTTGCTGTTAATTGACAGAACAGCTAAGGCTGCTTTAAACTTGCATTTACTGATTTTTGTTGACATGGAGAGAGCGCAACAAGCTGCTAACACAACACTGATTGTTGATATGTTGAACAGTTGCTTTTTTAGACTTCTACCAGACGAACATCAACATTAGCATTCATTTGAAGTGGTGTTTCTGGCCACCTGACCAATGTAAGTACAATATTCATTCTGCCTTAAGCTCTATTTGATCTCCACCAACTCCTGAAAGAAATATCTGGCTTCTTAGGAACTAAATGCTCCACTATGTTCACCAGCTAGTCGCAAACCTCCTCTGCCAGAAAGCTCAAAACAATGAGCTACAGTCAGATGATAATTCTCTGAATGTTCGTCATTACAAGTGACAACTTTCACATTACGCAGATTGTTGTCATTTGATCCATTGTCAATACAAAAATATTAAGTAGTGCAGCTTTAACTATGAACTGATTCCTTGTCAATGTAACTAGAATTACCGCCCTGCAATTTGATGCCTCCACCAACAACTCAAGTTGCAGTTTACATCCATGTCTGTTCAGACTCGTATAACATTTGTGGTGAACACATTGACTCACGATTACGTAGGTGCACTCCAATATGTTGTTTGCAGTCACGTAAGTCAGATTAATTTTGAAGCAAGAGTGAACAGCGGTGAATACATCAGCTGTTGCTGATGACATTCTTTACCACGTTGTGTTCGATCATTTTTATAGGCTACGTCATTACCAACGAGCCTCCTTCACACGCAGCTCACCTGCTGTTATTAAAATGGAATCGCAGGTGAAAAAAATCCTGAAGCCAAGTTGTGCTTTTCCGGGAGACTTTATAAAATAAGAGATATTTTGCTTAAGTAACGTTACTGGCTACAGTAAGAGTAACATTACTGAAAGAGAAAGCAAGGTGATTAAAGTAGTTAGAGAGTTAAGTAGTGACATATATTTTCAATAGCTTAATATTAGAATTATTATCCCCTGTTGCCGTCCCTGTCGTCCTGTGGGAAACACAGCAACATGGATGTGAAATCTGGAATCACCCAATTAATTCTTAAATTATGGCTAAAAACCTCTTCTGAGGTCACAATAGTGTACGTCAGTAAGTCAGTGCCCCACCAACTGTTAAATATGTTCACAACCTCCCCTGCTGTTCTGTTATGGTGTTGAATAATGGCCAATTTTAATTACAGCATCAATCCTGTGTTAAGAGTTATGACATAAAACCTGTTTGTCAAGGTCATTTTGAGGTCACAGTTACCTTTGAGTGTCAAAAGTGTCACAAATTCACTTTACGACCAAGAAGGCCATCGGTTTTTAAGTTAAATGTGTGTTAAATGTGTTTTGTGATGTCACAGTGACCTAGACCTTTGACCACCAAACTCTACTCAGTTCATTCTTGAGTCGAAGTGGATGTTTGTGCCAAATCTGAAGAGATTTCTGCCATATTGCGTTACCAAGAATGGGACAGACAGGCAGATGTACAACCTGAAAACATAATGACTCCAGCCTTGCAATCGGTGGCACAGAGGCATAAAAATACTGAGTAGAGCAGCTTTAACTGTGAATGGGTCAAGGTGACCTACATTTCATTGTCCAATTAATGTGAATGTGAATGACCAGAACTTTTTCTGGCTTCTGACGGAGGCACGCCATAAAAAGTTTGAGAACCACTGTGCTAACCAGACTGAAAGACCTGCAAATATCTTGTGATGCCATGTGAAAATACGACAAGACTTGAAGTCTTATTATGAAGTGTGATAAAATCTTGTGTTTGCCTCCGCAATAAAAAAAAAAAAAAACAACCAACTCTCACCTCGTTGTCCGACTCCACCAGGACCTGGTCGTACTCGCTGAGCGCCACCAGAAACATGATGGAAGTGACGTTCTCAAAGCAGTGGATCCACTTCCTCCTCTCTGACCTCTGACCCCCCACATCCACCATTCTGATTGTAACATGATGGGATGAGATGAAGGGCCACCCAACACAGGGTAGAATGAATCACATAAAAGAGAAGAAATTACAATTAGCACTTAATATCTCAGACTCTCTTGATCTCCATTGTTTAGATGTTTAACGTTCGCTACACAACGGGAAGTGTTTTAATCATTATGTCAAAGATGGAACTTCTGTTGAATGTTTGGAACTACCCTGGTTATTAAACAAATCAAACCTAGATCACAGAAAATAGAACGCATGTGTCCCAAATCAAACAACTTAATTAGATTAGATGTATTACATTTAATTCAAATAGTTCAAAACATTGTAACAGAGGCACCAGAAGAAACCCTGAAGTGAGCTGAGGACAAGCCACCAGCTAAAGATCTTGGTCACTTCAGGACAGGAAGATGATTTTCAAGTAGAAAAGGCATCAGTGCAAAAAGGCATTCACCCTTTAAAATGTGGCTTTGTATTCAGTTGTGGCCAATCAACATTTTAAATGCCCTATATTGTCTGAACATTTCCACTAATTCAACATAATATCTAGTGAGTCCAGTGTAGTTCAAGCCAAACACCCCTTTTGCACTGAAAATATAAACAGAGGAAACACGAACAGAGAATCTGCAGAGTGAATCACAGAGTGGACAGAGCAAGCCTTCCCAACGGTGAACCAAAATAACTACAAGGAAGTGTATGTTGCGTACAAAACAATACCATCCTTCTCTCCCTTCTTTGTAAAGTAGATGCAGGAAAGTCCACGCAGGAGATAGAAAGTAGTAGAGCTGGGCGATAAATCAATTCATTTAAATCTACATTATAAAAACAATACAAAAAATGGATGAATTATAAATGTACAGCTGATAAAGGTTTCCATAAAGTCACTCATCTACACAGAATGTGTAGAATCATTGTCCCATAATATCCAATACGAGAAGAAGGGGTGGGAATTTTTTTTACTTTTAGGCCACATCGCCCAACCCTAGAAAGTATTACAAACTGTTTACTTGTTAAGAAGTGCATATAAAAAGCTTCTAAGTGTGAGGAATACAAGAGGAGTAACAGATAGAGGTTGGAAGAGGACACGTGGAGTAATCGAAGGAATAGAGATGAGGGGGAAAAAGGACTTGGGAATCAAGGAAGAAACACTAAAGGATGTGAGAAACAGCGGCTTATGAGACATTGTATAGGTTTTGATTGTGGAGTACGAGACATGGATTGACTCAAATTAGTATTAAAGCCAAAAGAAATTAATTAAATCAAATTTGGCTGAAGACGAAATGCTGCCAGATAACAATGAAAGAGGGGCAAAGGGGAAAAATCTGATTTTGTTATCTGTCCATTTAAACTAACTGCTACAGAAAATACAACTTTAGACGATGAATGAAACTCTGACTGTTCTCATAAGTTACGTCAAAGTCTCTATTCCACAAAATATCACTTAATATCATTCAAAAGCTAGACAGTGAAATTTTGATCACACATCACAAAGGTGAGCTCAGTCAGTGAGTCTGCCAGAAGGAAGGACGGCATTGATAAATGGAGCCAGCCTAAAATAAAACTCCTTCACATCAGACGACCTCCTTTTTTCCTCTAGCAAGGATGAGTGACCTACTTAGCACGATAAGCTCTCCTATGCTGGATAAGCCAAGTAAAATGACATTTTCTGTGACTTCAAAAGCAAATTAAAAGAGAAGGAAGCAAGCCTAATGGAGATGTTTGTCTATGAGAGGCTTCCTTGTTGCAGCTATAGCCTAGTCAACTGCAAGCAGAGGCAGTGTAGTCCCACATGTACTTGTTACTATACATGAGTTTCAGGCTGTGGAACTTCTCATCCTGCGTCAAGTATCCTCCATGTTTAATCACAGGAAAATGATAACACATTCTCATAAACTGAGAAACCTCAAAAATCATCAACAATAACACCTGACACCTCACATTCATTCCTACTTCATATTTGTATTTTCGGTGTGTTAACACAAAACTGATGTCATCGAGAGCATGCAGTGATTCACCATCAGCAGCACAGCCAAGAAGAGTAGAGCCTATCGGCTAGCTGCAGCATGCTGCTGGGAACCTCTTCAGCACAACCTCATTGCAAGCAGAGTTATTTCTAGCCTTGCCAAGCGTAGGAGGGGGCTGACATGATGGCTTCCTATCGATTTGCACTCTTCTGTAATCGCTCTTGTTCCCTGGGTCCATCTCTATCTCCTCATCTTCTCTCTTTTTTGCAAGAGGAGGAAGGGAAGCGGGCTCTACGTATTGATGGCGGGTCCTAAAGACTGCCTCTGTGCAAGGTCCTAGAGGCCGTGTCGCTGGGCTACGCAAAACAATTAGGAAGGAGTATTATGTAAAAATACTCAGTTTATGAGCCTTTCAGTTTCTAAACATGGAAACTTCTCAGAGTAAAACTTGGGCATTGTCATGAAGCATCCCTATACTCTTTCATCTAGGCCCGTTTATATTGTTTCAAATTATAGACTACGGTTAAGTGATAACATGGATGTACATAGAAGCCAGGCCTGCATCTAACAATTATTTTCATGATCAATTATTCTGCCAATTAATGGTTTAGTCTAAACAAATTATACATTACAGTATACATTCTGATACTGGATAAGTAACTACAGGAGATTTGGTGTTATTGCTAGAAGATTTTCATGAAAGCCAATCCCATCATGGATACTATTTAAGGTCTGTGTTTTTCTGCTATAGCCATTTAATGCATTTACATTAAGTAATTGCCTGTCTATTTAGTTTTTTGTCATTCACCATTTACGCACTGGATTGAGACAGGGGTGAAAAAGGTGAGAAGGATATTACCCCTCTAGGGGGGTCCGGGGGCATGTTCCTTGGAAGAAAATTTTGAATATTCCATAGTTTAAAGCATCAATCTGATGCATTTTGAGATGCATTTTTTGCCAACCTGGGGAGAGCTGGAGAAACTTAACTTCAGCCATGAGTCAAAAATAAAATGGCCTCCTTACTAAGTATTATGCAAGCCATTTCATGCCAGCCTGTCACTGGGTCTAACATTTACAGTATATGAGGCACAATGTGGTAAGGTCATGAAAACAGGTCATGAAAATATACGATACTATACTACTCCTAAAACAGCTGGGCACTGTAGTTTCTGGCAAAAGTTACCCAAACAGAAATAAACAGTGTATTTGTAATGGGACGACTTTCAGCTACGGATTTGGTGAGCTAGTGAGTATTTGCAGCAGAAGAACGGGGGATAACCGATTGAATAAACTACAGTGTAAACAAAAGATTAAACGGAAATGTTGCCGGATAGTTTGGGTTTTTTGAAGTGGGGTCGTATGAAGTACTTATCTATAGTCAGTGTGTTAGCTACATTAACTGCTGCTCAGCAATCCCTCAGTTTGGAGAAGCAGAGAGCCGCTCCAGCACAAACGATCAGCTTTGCACTGCAGTGAACGGAGTCCAGATGCAAAGCGAATTTTAACCACCTAAAACAAGGCCCACCTAAAAAAATCTATATCAGTTCAAATATATGTTACATAGAGAAAATTCACACCGCTTTACATCACTGTCAGACAGCCCTGATACCGTATAACTCACATATTCGTACGCATAGGCGCAACTTTTTCCCGCTGCGGGAGGAGACCTACACCCTAATTGATAAGTCTACTTGTTTCAGCTACAGTGGAATCTACTGTAATGTTGCACATTGAATGTACTGAAAATATCAGAATGGATCATATGGGGACCAATGGGGACATATTGAGACAAAAGGGGGACATGAAACATGTTAACACTGCCTTTTAGATTTGAAAATGACAATAGGACAGTAGTAGGGTAAAAAAAAAATAAAGCAGGGTCAGTAAAAGTAGTGCATTTCTTTTTCTACCTGAAAATGATGCTTTGCAAGTCGAAAGGGTATTCTATGATCCCAGTGGTTGGGATTCGAACCCTAAGCACGTCCTGTTGGGTTGGCAGATAGGACGATTCAGCAATACGATCCAGATCACTTAGATAGCTAGAGACAGGAAGGACAACAAGAGACAAGAGAGAGGGGGGAAAGAGAAAGTGAAGCATAACCGCAGATACAGCAAAACTCCTCCAAAAGCAAGTGGATCAGTCCAGATGTAAGAGTTATGAGGGGACGAACCTCTACCCCCAAATGTACTCTTAGAAATCTAGCTTTGTCCTTGATGGCAACTCCCAAAGACAAAATATTCCTCACTCTGTACCTCCTCAAGAGCTCAATTTGAAGGTTTAGGGAAGTTTCAGTTGACTCCAAAAAATGATTTAGCACTCAAGAGGCCAACTTTCACTACATAGGTGACAAAGATTACTGTCTTGACAGGAGGGTTTGGGGCCTTGAGGCCAGCCAGTCTCTGAGAGTGTACCATCAGGGATGTTAAAGTGCTGAGCCCTGCTGTGCGGCACAGGGGAGATGGAGATAGCGGCGTCGACGGTTTCCAACTGGCTGACCAACTGTCAAGCAGCCGGCCAACCAGTGTCATCATCTGCAGCACTTGACACCAGTACCTGAAGATAATATTCTCCAGGTCAAATGGGTATTCAATGATGCCGGTGGTGGGCACTCGAACCCGCAGCACATCCTGCTGAGTGGGCACATACCCCGGTGATCCTATTCGTTCTAAATCGTTAAGGTAACTGTGGAAGGGAAGGGAACGTGGGACATAGAGATGCACATGTAGGCAAACCACAAGTCTCAACAGGAGGAGACCACATGCACATGTATATACAAAGAACAGACACAAATAATTGCTTTTAAACACATACAACTGCAAAACAATATTAAATAAAAGTGCTTATAGCGAGCAGTAGCTCATCAGGAAAATATACAAGCTTTAATTTTTTTCCTACATCCATAACTTTTTAAAAAGGAGCCATATTAGTCTGAAATGGATTAATGCAAGTTGGAATTAGCCCTGATATTATTAGCAGTCGTTTATAAACCTGCCAACATTTCCTCCTTCCCCCTCCCCCCAACCCTCTGCATCTGCCTGAACCCTCTTCCCTCCAGTCAAGTGGCTGTTAACACAGGTAGAAAACTGCTGAAAAAAGTCTATTAACATTATTAATGCATCCGTGATTTCATTACTCATGTCTATACTATAAAAACTGTTATTTACTCATTTCATCATATTGAATTAGATATTTTAGAAAGCACAGTTGCAGTGATACTGTTCTCCATGTGCACATGTTACGTAAATAATGTGTGTAATTTATTTTATTTATTGTAGACGTACTATTTGGTTGAGTCGGAGAGCTGGTACTCTCTCCTGCGATCATACGCCTCCTGGATGCCAGGGTCAGCCCACAGCGTCTTTATCGCGCTGATGTACGGCTGATCGAATGATGAAATCTTCTCCACGTCCACCTCGCGCACCAGCTGGGCATTATTCTGGGAGAATGGAGAAAAAAAAAACAAAGCAAAAAACAACATGTCAATTTTGTAACTTATATTCCTGAATGTTTACATACTACTTACAGTACATATCCACACTTTTAGGCTATAACATTATCAAACTCCTGATCGTGTTACGGCAACAAACAACAACATTAAATCAATAAATGCAGCAGAGCCAGAGATACATTTCATTCTATGTAATCTTCTTGTTACCTGACTGCCGATACTTCCATAGAAAACTGCTGACATTGTATTATGGTAGTAGCAGCTAATGTAGCGGTTAGCTTCAAGCAGAAACTTCCTTCTTTCTTCTCTTTTATTTTTAAACTTGTGGTCTATGTGAAATGACCAAAACTGAGCGAACTTAGTAAATAAGGTGTTCTTGTAGGATCCCGTTACTCATAGTAATAAGTTAATTAAGAAAATACATTTTCAAGACTTAAATCATTTTCATAATTCAGTTAAGAAATTTGTATAGAGTCGTGTTTCATTATCTCAGCAATGTTAGGTGCTTCACAAACTAGGAAGTATAAATTATTTGGATGTGGGTATCCATTTCAATAACGCATCACATGACAATAGTTTCATCGAAACACTGACAGTACGCACCTTGTTCTGTTCATACTTAAATGGGATTTTGAGGGTCTCAGTGGCACGGATCATGGCCTGCATTGAGGTGAAGATATTCTGGTAGACCAGTTTGGTGAAGCCCTTCTTATCCTCATCTGTGTAGCCTGACCCGTGGATTATTCTCATCTGCTTGATGAAGGTACTCTTCCCGCTCTCTCCAGTACCTGAAAAACAAAAAAGGCACAGCAGGTTAGCTGACAACTGAAAAAAGGATCACAACACTGACATGACCCAGGAACAAAAGTCATATTATCCTACAGTGCTGCTGAAGATGTGGTGATAATTCTTGTGTGCAGATAAATTAGGAAAAATAAAGAGTGTAATGTGAAACCTGCTAAATGAGGCAAACAATGCCAGAAATGTACAGTAACAGTGTTACAAGTATGACGAATGAATTCAAACATTTGTTTGAAAGATGGGTTAGTACCACAATACTCCAAGAAAAGCTGTAATCCATCCAGTTTTGTCTAATAAATCAATTAAGAATACAACTGACAGTAAAATGTAGCAGCACTTTAATTCTAATGTAGTCAAATGTATTTCTGCTGCTCTTGGAGCAAACTAAACCACAAAATAAAAAAAGACCCGTGGATGCTGAGCTCTTCTCCACACAGTCAACAAAGCAAACAAACTTGGTCAAATACTTTTTATATAGCTCATATTTCTGTGGTAACCCGGCTGGTCGTTGCAATAGGCTGACCTTGTCTGTCCACCTACACCCTGGTGCTGATACACAAGGCTGTGAATGAATAAGCACTCTCATGGCCTCCAGGCAGCGGTCAAGACCTCAACTCAGTTCCTGTGTTTTACCAAAACAGGCTGCTAAGCTGAACTGATCATTCTTCCACATGGTTCTCTTATTGTTAAATGACCTTTTTATTCCATTATTCCATTAAAATGTTCACATCTCCTCTCTCTCTGTGTGTGTGTGTGTGTATTCAAACACATGAGTTATGTAACTCCAGATAAGAATTTAAACGTCTAAAATATATATGGACACATGTTTCTGGGCCTAATTGTGGTTGAGCCATTGTCTCTTATCATTTTGATTCTAGTGTCCTGAGATGTGCAATGTAACAATGCAATGTAATCATCGTTTTGGCCGTGGTTACCACAGAGGCTCCACTGACTGGGTAACTGGAGCAGCCCAGAGTAACCACATGAGGGCTGCACGGCTCACCTCAGTTCAACAAAGAGCTGGGTAAACTGAGTTCACTCGTCCAATTTTGTATCGCAGTGACCATGCATATGCACACGTGCATAAACACATAAAAAGACCAAGTCATAGAGAGGGAAACTTGCTTGCACATGCAGAGAAAGAAATACACAGAACCCCACAGTTCCTTTTCACACACACCAACTTCTCCTCGAGAGCTTCTACAGCAGGTTCTGTATCTTTATATGGACATATTCAGTGAACAAACTATCACCCTAGGCTTAGGAGATGCCAGAGTAAGGATAAAAGCACCACAGTTGTGTATACTGTGGTCATCAACCAAAGAGGAACATTCAAAAGACAAGGCAGGTAGCAGTAAACCCAAACTCAACCTCTAGTTGTACTATGCATATCTCTCTCTTTCTCTCTCTCTCTCTCTCTCTCTCCAGAGCAATCCTCCTCTTTTCCACCCCCATTCCACCACCTTTTTTCTTCCTCTACAACCCTGCCACCACTCATCTCTCCATTTCACTTCTCCCAACATACAAGTCTGAGTCACTATCAGACAGTATCAGCTACATGTATACTCTGTCATCTTGTCTTTGTTCTACTGATCTCAGTGCTGCAACTGACAATTATGAATTCATCTATAGATTAAATGTAAAACTGCTGACAGTATGTTGTTTGAACATTAAAATTAAAAAACTGAACTGCACAATGATGGACAACATTTTTGTTGCATGGCCTACATGGCCAAGTACTATACACTACTCGCAGCATCGACACAGATGTGACTGTCCTCACAGTGTTCATTTTGTCTACACACACTTGTCTACATAGGAGGCGTCTACAAGGCTGTCTACACAGGATGCAATCAGGCACAGTACCGAGTTGGAACACTTTTGCATTTTGGCAGTGCTCAGAGCCCAATACACAATCATTATAGTTACATGTGTAAAATGGAAGAAAAGCATAAAAATATTTTCCAGGTTGACTTTACCCTTGTATATTGCTGGCCGTTACGCAGCCTGTGTAGAAAGCTGTATTGATTAAAATAGAAGCATATCTGTTCCATCAGATGTCATGAGACAGACAACTGGAAAAGCGCAGCTGAAACGCCTCCTGTGTGGACACTATAAAACACATGTCCGTGAGGGTCTGCTCAGACTGTCGATACGGACCATATGTGCTGACAAACGTGTGTGACCACTCTGATTAATTTTACTGACGAGGAGTCTACAGCCATGTCCGTGCCTCTGTGAGGCTTTACGCGCCACCAGGTTTTGTGCTAAATGCAAATATGTTTGCATGCTATCCATCCATCTTTTAGCTATAACTGCTCACTTGCAGGGTAACAGGGGGGTGGCGCTAGCTCACAATGGGTGAGAAATGGGTTACACCCAGTACAGGTTTGCAGCTTCTCACAAGGCTAAGACAGAGAGACAAACATTCCTGCTCACATTCACACCTACGGGCAATTTAGAGTCCCCAATTAACCTAACCTGCATGTCTTAAGGAGGAAGCCAGAGCACCCTAAGGGAACCCACTCTGACACAGGGAGAACATACGAACATTCATCCAATAGTTCTGGCAATTTCTAAGATGAAGTAGTGGACCGACCGGCATTGCCATCCATAGAGACAAGCCAACAACATGGCCAAAAAAGGGATCCGACACTGTGTGTACTAAAGGAGACACATAGTAGTCTACAGCCTCCTCGCACAAATAGAGGGAGTTACCAGTGAAAGAAAAGTTGCACATCGGGAATTAGAATTTGGTAGAAATAAATACTAGTGACAGCCACAGCCACATTGTCTAAGCAGCACTGTAGTGGCTGATTAGATAATGGAATGTGCTTTGTGTTATAAAGTACAGCTGGTATTCCCAAGGCAAAGCTGAAATGTCTTCCAAGGATGATGAGAGTCAAGTTTGACTGTCGCTGACTGAAGAGCACTGTTGAGTGTACAGTGAAGGAGTGCCCTGAGTGCTGCCTGCCCTCTAACCAGACAGGATCTTTCACTGTGGAAAGCAGGTCAGGCAACATTGGAGTTTCCCCTTCAGACAGAGTATGTCTTTGAGAGAGGGACATAAATAGCAATTGTCAAGACACAGCACTAGAGTTTCTCGTTGACTAAAGAGCTGAACAGAAAGCGGGTGGGGGGTTAGTGGGATGTGAGGGAGTAGGAAAAGCAGAATACTGAGAGTACACATTCTTTGCTTTCCGTTCTTTACTCGGTGTTACTGAGTACATAGAGGCGAGTTTAAAACTGACGAGCACAGAAATGAAGGGAGAGGATATGGGATAGATACATCAGCTTCATTGGTTAATTGAGTGTGTGTCTGTGTGTGTGTGTATTCAAGTGTATCTGAATTTTCCAAACACGCACACAACCAGAGGAGAGGGGCATGTCTAGCAGGCATGATGAGCTTAATTCAACAGATCCCATTGTTCTCCTACCAAACTGGAAAACCCAGCAGAAGCATTTCTCATGGACAAGCTACTGTACGCTGGAGCTACTCCTGAGGGGTAATTCTAGTTCCCATGGCAACTCCAGTGCTGGACTCATAAATACATGGCAGAAAACACCAGCTGATAGGCCCAGCTGATAGGCTTCAGTACGTCTCCACAGACCCCAGTCAAACATGCAACTTTAGTGTGCATTTCTTAATCCCACACTGTCCTCAGCCGGTACTCCACTCTCAGCCTTTGGGAGTTAGTTGGGAAAAGTTATGAAAGCAAATAATGGACGCACAGATTTAAAATTTTATCAGCATCATGTGTCAGTGCTCTGAATTAAATAGTATTCAAATTTCCCAACAACAAAAAACAGCCCTACAATAAATCCTACCTTCATGACAGTTATAATGTTCAGTTTTTGTTAAAATCCTCTTTGATGTAAATGGGGCTAACAAAACAATAGAAACACTCAATTCAAAAGCACCACAAACTACAGCCTCCAAAAGGATCCTACAGTTGATAAAACTGTTCACAATTTATTGCAGGACCAATCTGACTGCATAGCATTTAGCTAGGTGTACCTAATAAGCTGGCAAATGTGTAGTGTATACCACTATAGTTACACGTTGTGCTCTATATAAGTTTGAGTACACCCATATATGTTTTGTGTATGACATGTAAGTAGGCATGTACCAATGTAAAACAATTAGCTAGAAATGTCACAGAACACAATATTTTAATAATTATTTACATAAAACTAGTTGACAAAATACTGTACTTTCTTTTTTCTGTTTTAAAGGGCTACTGGAATTGCACTTACATAAAGTTTGGAGATAAACAGAGGTCAAAATCAAAGCAGCAGAGGCCAAAATATCCCAACTTTTATTACCCTCAGTAGTATAGGTCTAGTTCCGAAATATGCTGGACTTTACATTTCCTTTAATGAAATTCTATTACATCTTTTCATTAGGCCTGCCTGGTAAATCCCCACATCCATTGCCATGCTCATTTTTAATGCAGGCTTTGTGTTACTAATCTGTAGTCTCCAACTTCAGATAGAAGGTGTGGAGTTCCCTTTAAAAGCAAAACTACTATCTAATGTCTAACACTGATGTACATTTTTCAGAGTCTCAATTTAAAAAACTTTTGCGTCATCTCTACTATTCCTAAAAAGCAATAAAAATCAAGGTGTTCCCCCCCCATGGTCATATCTCATTATCAAAACAACTAAAGGTGAAAGAGTCAATTGAGAGAAAAATAGTTTGCAATTATCATTTTAGTCATTTTTTAAGCAAAAGATTTCCCAAAAAGCTTCTCATTTGTCAAGATCTGCTGCTTCTCTTCCCCTCATATGACAGGAGTGGATATCTTTGATCAGTCAAAGAGAACAAGACATTTGAGGACGTCACCTTGGGTTTTCGGAAAATTGTGATGGACAATATAGTTAATAGGCAAAACAATTAACTGATGAATCTGTATAATAATCGGCGGAAAAATCAGTGATTGAAATAATTGTTAGGAAGCGCCTCCGTAGCTGAATGGTTACAGTG